GACCCTGGAGGCCGAGGCGCAGCAAGGCGATGTCATCCTCCTCCACGCCTGCGCGCACAATCCCACCGGTCTTGACCCCAACAAGGAGCAATGGAAGGCCATTGCCGACCTCTGCGAGCGCAAGAAAATCTTCCCCTTCTTTGACTCGGCCTACCAGGGTTTCGCGTCGGGGTCGCTCGAAGAGGACGCCTGGGCGGTGCGGTACTTCCTCAACGAGAAGCCCGGCATGGAGATGTGCGTTGCGCAGAGCTTTTCCAAGAATTTCGGGCTTTACGGACAGCGCGTAGGCGCATTCCACTACGTCCTGCCCCAAGGCAGCGACAGTCTCCGCGACACCGTCGTCGTTAATCTGTGCCACTTGATCCGTGGCGAGTACTCCATGGGTCCTACGGCGGGCTGCAACATCGTGAAGAAGGTCCTGACAAACGAGGATCTCACCGCACAGTGGCACGAGGACCTCAAAGTAATGAGCTCGCGGATCCGCTCGATGAGAAAGGCTCTCTATGACGAGCTCCTGCGGCTGCAGACCCCGGGGTCCTGGAGACACATTGTCGAACAGGTATGGCCTTCCCACGCCCCCCTGAACTTCAAAAAACCCGCTCGCTTACGCACGAGGCTAACGGATCATCTAGAATGGAATGTTCTCCTACACCGGCCTCACCCCCGCGCAGGTTTATTCCCTCAGGGACAAATATCACATCTACCTGCTCAAGTCCGGCAGAGCTTCCATCAGCGGCTGTAAGCAAGCCAACTTTCTTCCCTACATCACCACTTGAATCTGAACTAACCTCTTTGCTATTCAGTGAGTCGAAAGAACGTCGCCTACGTCGCCCAGGCCATCGACGACGTCGTGCGGAACGTCTAGACCTGCATACCTGCATCAGCAAAAACCACTACACCATACATTCATCTGCGTTAGTTGCGCCTAAAGGCCAAGATATAGACGGAGGGGTGTTTCGAGGTCCCGGTGACTAGAGCTACACTACATCTTGCATTTCATGGCCTTTGCCCTTTTACATACACTTAGAATTATGGAGCATGTATGATACGATATGAATAGAGCCAACGAGATTTACGAGTATTGCTTAGCGGACCCTTGACTTCCTTTCTTCGATCATTCATAGCAGAGGTAGGGGTGAGTCATACGGCATTAAGATTGGCTATATACTGTACAACGAAGTAAAAATGCATCAGATAATGGCAGAACATACATTCAGAATGAAAGTGGTCAAATGAAGATAAAGAGGAATGAAGAATCGAGTGCCGTCGACTTTGCGCTGTTCGCCACAATGGTATATTAATACACGGGACAAGTATGCAGACGCAGACACCGTTCAGCACGAAGCATTGGGGATGCACAACTCGCCCATCACAGAGAAATCTCGCTAAAGTCTCCCTCGCCTTCCTTCCCCTTACCCTTCGCGTCACTGTCGTTTGTCGTTGGTTCTTCCTGTTCCTGCTCTTCTTCTGCCTGTTCGTGTGCGGTTTCATCTTCATCCTTTTCGTCGTGTTTCTCGTCACTCTGTTCCTCATTTTCTGCAGGAGAGGCAACTTCCGCCGGGTTGGTAGACTCAGGTTTGCCGTTCAGTGTGGGTCCAGCACCTGCAGCATCATCCTTTGGAGGAGGGGGCGGGGGCGAGTCCTCTTCATCCGACGAGACCTCTCTCTCATCCGCTCGAGGCTGGCCACTCATATCCGCGCCGGGGAAGGGAGTCACGGGTGGTTCCCCCACGCTCAATTCCCTCTGGTGCGCAGGTTGAGGCTGGAGGCTCAGTCTACTCTGAAACTGGGATTGAGGCTGAGCTTGAGACTGAGACTGAGGCTGAGACTGAGATGGCGCATTGGTGGCCATTGACACGGAGGATCTGGTATGTTGATGTGTTGAGGCGTGAATGGGGCCGAGCTGTCTGGCCTTGGGGTCTGCGTTCAGGTAGTAGCCCCGGACTCCAACGATGGTGCCCTCCGCCTCGCAGGCATCCACCCACTCCGGAACCACGACGGGAATGTTCATCTCTACCGCTTTCTCCCATAGGGGGCCTCTGCCTTCTGTACATACAAAGTGAGTGGTATCAATGCGCACTGTGTCGATCAGCTTGCCGCCGATACGTTCCAATGCCGCAGCGAGCGCCTCCTTTTGCTGTTCTGGAAGGATGCCAGGGGTAACCGTGATACCGGATAGATCGGTCATCTTGTGCGTCCGACATGTCAGCTTCTCCGATTGGTATGTCCCGGCCGTTGTGCGCAGGACGAGGTGGAAGGAATATTCCGTGTCGATCGCCAGACCGCTGATCTTGGTGCTTCGCGTCTCGAGTGGCCTGGGTATCGAACCAGCTTTCGAGCCATTACGGTAGAGAGAAAGCGACTTGAGCGACGCGGTGGCCAGGTCGATTGGATCCCATTCTAGGACTAGGGAGGTTTGGGTTGCGTTACGGAGCCGGAGGACAGGTGGGGCGGGGGTCTTGACGCCGTAGGTGTTGAGAATCCGCTTCTGTAGCGCCTGGAAGGCTGAATTACTCGCAGCTTCGGCGGTGTGGTTGCGCGATACTGTGATATCGACAATGCTGCCGGATGTGATGTTGTTCGGGAGAAGGACGGAGGGGAATTCGATCTGTAGATTGGCCCAGATTAGCAGCTGTGAATTTTCCAACGGCCTCTTACAAGTGAGGCACTAATCCTGCGACTCAAGAGCAAGATTTCGAGATTGTGGAAGAGGCGCATGTTCTAGTCCGGTGACAATCGTTATGCTGGGAGAGGGGGAGCTTACCAGTCGGTTATCCTGCGTCAAGAGTACAGCAACTCCTGCGTCTACCTTGCCTACTGTCAAGGAGACCAACATTTTGAGATCTAGGACGGCAAACCAGGAGCGATTAGGGATGGCGCAATTGATTTTCGTGCAGCAGCCGATAGATTCAAGCGGAAGAAGGGGAAAAGAAGTGGATGCCTGTCCGTTGTTGATTTGGTTATTGAGATGATCGACCCCCATTAATTTAGTTGTCAACACGCCAAGAAGGCACGGCCTGCGCGGCCCAGACTGGAGTCGGGAATGCTATTTTTGAGATCTGAACAAGATCGATTACGACTTCAATGTTGAAGATTATTGTGTCGCATGCTTCGCATCTCCCCCAGTTTTACGTCGCTTTTTTTAGATATTAGCTGCTGCCAAAGGCCTAGCAATGCCAGTCCATATGTTCAGTCTCATAGCATCATGAGCGAGAGCGCACAGTCGCTCCATTTCCCAGAGCAACTCGCCATTCTTCCATTATGATTAACTATTATTTGTGGGTATTCTTTCATGATCTTGCTCCCGCCTGCGAGTAGTATTTGTCTGCTTCTCGCCGTCTCTCAAATGCCTCAGCAACGTTCGTAGGAGATAATCCATCTCCTTCCGAACCGTGTCGTATCCCACCTTCACACTCTGCGGTAGGACAGCGATCTCGAGGCTGCCCTGGAGACGGTCCTTTGGTGATCTCATGGCCGCAGATCCCGACGTCTCTGACACCAACCTTCTGCCTTCGACGTCGAACCCTTGTGCTGCCAGGGCCTGTCGGAACGCCAAGCGGACACGCCTCGTAGCCCATGAGCGAACCACTCGCTTGAACGACTGCAGCGGCTGTGGATTCACCCTCCACCACAGTGTACTAGGATCCCGGTTGGCGTACAGATGTTGGATCTTGGGCCGGATGGGATGTGTCTCAGAGAGGATATATCGATTGGCAACTGGTGGTATGACTGTCTTAGGGTTATAGCGCATGTAGAACTGACTTGTGCCTTTGACAAGCCTCCTTTGTACAGGCTGTCCAATCATGATGAGAAGGTATAGGTCCGGTTCTGGGCTTTGCCTCGATCATCAGGACAAAGCTGTTGGCACATCAATATAGCCTTGAGATCCAATCACATAAGAAAGCAAATCCAAGGAAGTGAAGTGACTGGTATGAGTAAAACGCACTCTCTAATCGTCGACGAGTCAAGTACCCGTGGAAACAATTCGACCAGCATCAATAGCGTTCCTTGGAGATATTATTTTCCTTCCATTGTTTCCGTGGCTCCTTTTCTGCCACGAAAAGGTGCAAAAAGGCGGTGTACAGCAATGATCTCGATTGGCAAGTATCTTGTGGCGAGCCTTAGGCAGAAATCAGGCCGCCACGCCACCGCTGACTGCCCACTATATATTTGAACTGCGTCGAATTTGATCCCAGCGCTTCTCTCCGCCAACTCGACACACCCCACTTCCACCTCGCTTGGTTCTTAGGAACTCCTTTTTCTACCAACTTACTTGTCACCGTATCAAGAGGAAAAGTCAGCGCGGATAGCGAGTCGTCACCATGCCCAAGAACAAGGGAAAGGTAAGTTGTCGCTATTACTCTTGATTCCCTCCAAAATGAACCCCGCCTGCGAAAGTTTTTCACTGTCATTTCGCCGTATCAGCCCGTTTGGCTGCGCTGCGCGAAACGCGGTCACTACTGTATACGAAATGACAGAGAAGCCTTTGGATTTGATTTGCCACGAATTTCTTGATATATTTCCAATCAGATGCTAACTTTCGTCTACAGGGTGGTAAGAACAGGCGTCGTGGAAAGAACGAGAACGACAACGAGAAGCGTGAGCTCGTCTTCAAGGAAGAAGGCCAGGAGTATGCGCAGGTCGTGAAGATGCTCGGCAACGGCAGACTGGAAGCCATGTGCTTCGACGGCGAAAAGCGACTGGCACACATCCGAGGCAAGCTGAGGAAGAAGGTCTGGATCAACCAGGGTGACATCATCCTTCTCTCGCTGCGTGACTACCAGGACGAAAAGGGCGACGTTATCATGAAGTACACCGCCGACGAGGCCAGAAGTCTTAAGGCCTACGGCGAGTTGCCCGAGCACGCCAAGATCAACGAGACCGATACCTATGGCCATGAAGGCTTTGAGGACAACGTCGAGTTCGACGAGGACCGCGAGTCTGAAGATGAGAAGGAGATCGATGTCGACGAGCTCTAAACACCCTTCATCCCTGTGCAGTCAACCCTGCGAGAACCCACCGGGGCCCCCTTTGCCGCCAATTCTGTTCTCCCGAAGCCCGGGAGATTCTGTCGAATCTTCTTTCGCTTGCGACCAGTGGTTTTTGCCGCGCTCGGAAGGAAGTTCGACGCCTGGGCTCTCTCTATTCTTGTGTCGCCTGTCTCCCGAAAAGGTGACACCGAGGAGGATCAGAGTTGCGGTGCCTCCCCGCTTCGCGTTCGAGACCGCTTCAAGCGCCACCCGGTGCCGTTCCTGTCTGTCAGGGTTGATAGGGGAATTTCTGAGATCGCGCATGCTGCTGAGCTGGTTCGGCTGTGCCGTAACTCGGTCTCCATCGTGAATCGCGATCTCGGGTAATTCTGCAGAGAAATAGTTGCCGATGCATGTAATGAAACTGGCTGCAAGCTGCATGTTTCGTGTTAAGCAATTCGTTTGTCTGTTATTCCGTTCCTTTTTTCCTGTTGAAAATTGACGATAGACTCATGAGAGGTTTACGAGAATTAAAAATATGTCCAAGACTTCTTCCCGACTGTACACGTAGCTGGTAACCGCCCTCAATATTTATATAAACTGTGCCCATATGCGTCTGAGTATCTCAACTATTATCGAACAAATTTTTACGGAAGAAGCCAACGATCTTCCGCGCGGCCTCCCTTCCAATAAGAGGATCAAGCTGCTCAACATCCATATTCGCAATCTCGCTGATATTTCCCGTCTCGAGGACAAGTCGCTCGAGCACCTTTGGCGTCACGCCTGGAACAGCACGCAGCATGTCCTGAGGAAGAGCATTAAACGTACGATGCTCAATACCCGCCGCCGCCATGACATCGCCTGGATGTGATGATGCGACAATATCCATATCGAGGCCAATCTGCACGGCCCGAAGAGGGTCTGGTTCTGGGTTATTCTTCTTCAGCTCAGCGAAGATTTCGGCGGTCTGATAGGGTGAGGAAGACCATATGATCTTTAGACGTGGAAAAGTCAGGGTGAGGAGCACGAGGAGATGCTGGGCGGATTTGGGGCTGGATGGGTTCATGAGAGAGCTGCTGACGGATAGGGAAGTAGTTCCTGTTCCGGATGACGAGAAGCCATAGTCAGTGAGGAATGATGTGCCAGGTGTCGACGCGGATGCGAACGCATCGAATGTGAAGGATTTATTTTGGTCGAATTCGATGAGCAGTAGAGGATTCTTGTAATGCTGGAGCATTGTCTCAGCCTGGTTGTAAAGGCGTCCATTTCTCAGCGAAGCGATGAGGTCACGGACTGATTTACGCTCCACACAGATGTCGGGGGTCAGGATATAATCGCCGACTGTTAACTGGCACGGGACGATGACCATGTTGTTTCCGTGCAACAGAGATGGAAGAGCGCTTCTGAATTCTCGAACGTCCACGACTACTCGAGGAGGTGACGCTGTGGCGGCTAATCGACCCCCTCCGGCGATACGAGTGTTCACTGTGCGAAGGAATTGTTCCTGGGGATCTTCTTGACTCTTATCATGGGTGAGGGTGACAGCCATGCTCTGGGTGATGCATCAATCAGTACACGGGACGAATGAGACACGGTGGAAGCCGCTTACCCCTTTCTCTTTTATAAGTTTAGTAAACGAGTCCTTCTCTCGTCGAACTGCACTCAGGTAACGCTGTTCCTCCACGGAGCCCCCATAGTAAATGAAGTATACCCTTACATTCCTTGCAACATGCGAGCTGCGATAAACTTCCACCCGCCGAATGAACGCTGGGTCGGGTTCGTACATAATAATGTACCGCGGCCGCACTTCTTCCAGTATATGCTCGTCCATATCGCCATCATATGGATGGACTATGACCAGATCGTCCATGTCATACAGCTCGAAGAAGTCTTCCATGTCTTCCAGGTCATCACTGATGATCTCGCCTTTCTGTGTCTCTTCAATATCAGTTGGTTGTAATTCCTCCAGTAAGCTGGAAACTTGACCCGGCAATTCGGTGTCAGTCTGCACGCTAGCATTCGGTACACGCGCTGCAGCTGATGTTACTGCTCCTCCTCCGCGGACACGACGTCGCTTGTTCGGAGGAGCTCTGCCCTGCTGACTCGTTGGCTTCGGCGACTCCTGACCCTTTGCGGTCTGGGTGTCGTCGCTTGATTTGGCAGACAGATTCTTGTTAACATTCGCCAACGAAGTCTTCCAATCAAGATATTCGCGTAGCCTCCTTCGCAACATTACTTCCGCAGAAGAATTCTTTCCACCCGTAGTATTAAGGTCCTCCGGATCATCTGGCTTATCTTTACCGATTCCGGCATGCATTGTTCCGAGATACTCCCTGATCTGCCGGCAGGTCCGTTGGTCGGTACACATGATGAGGACGGTACTATTCGATTCATCCGTGCTGACAGGATTTAAGTAAGCATCTTGTTCAATCTCCTCTAGCACCTCTGCAAGGACGGCCCATTTGGGCTGTTCCTCCAGAACAGGTCGAAGGGTAGAAGGCAGAGAGTCCAGAGTATTGGCCGTATCACGGGTGATCTTTCCTTCGTACACCCTCGACTTAGCGGTCTGGAAGAGTACGTGAGCAGCATCAAGAAAGAGCCAAGGTGAATAATTATGTCTTGTCGAACCAGGCGGTGGAGAATGCGCGGTTACAATAGTATCCAGATATTTCACGAAGGAGACCGCATCATAGGTAAGTAACGCGCTGTACTAAGAGTGAGTTCCTATGCGGACACGAGATTGTGCATGTTTGGGGCAATCAGACGTACTGAAGGATCGCGCGAAGATCAGACAAGTCGCTGACGATCTGTCTGGTCCTAAAACTCACTCGATGCCACATGGGATCGAGCTGACGTCTTATCGCGACATCAAAGGTCCTATGCAACGCGCTGTCCAGGGTCCAGTCCGCCATGTCAAGTCCAGGATTTGCTTTCTTTAACTCTGCAATACTGATTTCCACACACTCTAGGACCGCATTCTGAATTTCGCGCATTTTATCGGTCATCGGCACCTCAAGCTCAATCACCTCGGCCTTCCTGTGTCCCTCTAAGGACTCAGCAACAGTGACGTGAAATCGTGGCCATAATGATGTTTTGCGCAAAAACAGGTTACGCATAGAATTCGCCAGAGGAGCAAACCCCGTTGTGAACGGCTCTGGCGAGTCGGAGAAAGCCTTGAGAAAGCCAGACTTGTTAATTTGCCGATAGACCCGAATTATGAAGGCTTCAGTAGAAGTTGCTACTATCCTAGGATCCCTTCAGCGGACGCTCTTTGATGATCTCTTGGCAAAAGGTTATACCTGTCTGCGTGGAGTACAACCATGCCTGTGATCTTTTCCGGGTCGAGAAGTTCTATTGGCATGTGTCAGAAATAACCTCCTGGTATTCAAAAAAACAGCCTTACTTGACAGGAGATCAACCACAAGTATCCTGGATGTTACACTCAGGATACCGCCTTGGGCGTAGATCTTCTCTCTGCAAGATTATCAGTGACTAGATAACCTATTCCACTCATATAGCACGTACCTCATGGGGACCGTCGCCCTTTCGGTGTTGATGACTTTGAGGCCCCTGGCCAGCGGGGTCTTGCTAACGGCATAGTGTTCCGCGAGAGCTACAAGCTTTAGTCTCACAACTCCTCAAAGTCCCGTAAGGTATCGTTATCAGCATACTCCGTACCTTCGCCGATCCATTCATTTTCCCGATCATCAGCACCCACAACCAGTACTAAGTTATTCCCTGCGGCATCGTAAAAGTGGAGTAAGTTCGTCACCAAGCGCAGGAGGCCTAAACCTCGGGCAAGGATGACAAGCTCATCTTCGCCGCGTAGTTCGTTGAAGATGTCCTGCTGATATTGCTGTATGCGATGCCGTCAGCATATGGATTACGGTCCAGGAATAATTTTTTAGCTATATAAAGCGCTTACCAAGGGCAAGGACAGCTTCACTGGGACATTGGCGCGTTCAGGCGGCATGACGAGCCTCTTGACGCGGAAAAACGTCCTTCTTGCGACAAATTGAGGAGTAATGAAGACGCGATGTCACCTGACTATGATGTAATCGTCCGAATTGACTCAAATAATTTGGACTACCTTTCTCGGCCTAGCGCGTAAAATGGTCTCATAGATCACCAAGCTTACCTCCGCATTATTAGCAACGCTGAAGTAACCAACATAAGTCAAAAATCAGATGGCACCTTCAGCCGGTGATTCAAATGCATGAAAGATTTTTCGCCAAATGTGCATGTTGCTGCATAGCGTCACACAGTAATGCTCCATGATTGCCGCCTTATGGCGAGGATTGCACGTGGAACATCCGGCGTTGGGTACTCTTGCTAGAATTGGCCTAATACTGATTCTGAGAATCTACTTAGCAAGCTCAGCGGCTGCGCTTAAGGAGGGTCGTATGGAACGGATCAAGGCGATTGATGATTGTTCACTGAGTTTTGGAATATAACTTTCAACCCGCGGCAATCTACTGTTTCGCTCAACGAGAGGACCCTGAGACCTCAAGGCTGTGAAGATTTGGAATAAGGCCACTTTTATCCCTGCCTCCGGGGCACTGGCAGTGAAAGGCTCTGTCATTTGCCGTTGCGTGGGTCTCTAGTCCTCCCATTCTGGAAGAACCTTGTGTAATCGGCAGTTCGTGAGTTGTACATGCCCAAGCATGGTGCCCTGATTCCTCGAAGTCTTTGTCTCAGGCCTTTATTGCTCGAGATCCGAAATAGATTTCAAGATTCACCAAATTTGTGAACAAATGTGCAGATTGTTTGGTACTATACTGAAAAATCATCGCTCTGGTACAGTTGGGTAGGTGGCATTGCAGTCATTGCACTCATCAATACAAGATAGAAAACAAGTAAGGGGATGGAAGGAGCTGAAAATCGTGGCAACATGATCTGAGAAGACGGCATGATTGTGAAATGATCACCCACAGTAGAATAGATCATTCTACTGGTTCAGTTCCTTCTTGCGCTGTTCGATCTCCTCCCTCGAGGCTTTGGGTGGCATACCTATATCGCTATCAGTAGGCGGCGTAATGTTGTCTTTGTGGAGGTAGTCTCACTATCAGGAATCTGGGGTCCCTTAGAGATATGATCAAAGGCAGTAGCTTTCTTTTGCTCATGCTCTGGGCCCTTCGAGGAGTTGTCTTCGGGGTTATTGCTTCCCTGTGCCGTGGGGAAGTTGGAAGTATCTGACGGAATGACAGGCATGATGGGTCGGTGAACGGATATTGTTTATCTTCTTAGATTAGCAGATAGATAGTAGCTTTAAGACGATTTTGCAAACTCAGTGAGATAGTTGATAAAATTCAGGAAATCAAAAAGGCAGTAAGCAAGCAGCCCTAATTTATACTTGATGTAATTCGTGTAGGCGGGATGACGTCGTCGTAGGTATAACTTCATGCATTTATGTTGTGCAGCAGTCCACAAAGGCCAGGATT